AGCTTGAGGCTCCGTCTCAAAAAAAAAAAAAAAAAAAAGACAATCGCTTAAGCCCAGGATTTGGAGGTTGCTGTGAGCAGTGACGCCACAGTCCTCTACCCAGGACAACTCTATTTCAAAAAAGAGAGAAAGAAAGAAAAAAATGTGTTATCAGGAAAGTCTGGGAACAAGGGGCAGGTGGTATCAGGGTACATTAGCACGATCACATGGGATTTTGAGCCAAATATGAGCTAACAGCCTTATGCTGCATAAGCAAAAGCACTGAGGTACCAGAGTGAATGACAAGGAGCCACACATGGCAGATCATGAACCTCTGAGGACTGAGGCTGTGTGAGACTCAGCATTTCCCCATCTCTAGAATGGAGTCAATGACACCTTGCAGGGTTGTTGGGAAATTTAGGGATAGTATTTATGAATTGTTATATGGACGATATTAAAAAATGGTTACAATGTGTAATAAAGGAACTTGGGGCACAAGGACAGGACTGTGAAACTGGAAAGCAGCTTGGCATCAGCTGAGAACACTTTCGCTGGCCAGGCTGGTGCTGAGGTGATGGGGAGCTGCTGCTTTAGCTTCCTGAGTAGCTGGGATTATAGGTGTGCACTACCACACACAGCTAATTTTTGTATTTTAGAAAATTTGTATTTTGTATTGTAGAAATGGGATCTCACTATTTTGCCAAGCCTGGTCTCAAACTCCTCACCTCAAGCAATCCTCCCACCTCAACCTCCCCAAGTGCTGGGATTACAAGTGTGAGGCACCACACCTGGCCCTTCCTTTTTAAGGCTGAATAATAGTCCATTGCATGTACTACATTTGTTTATTCATTCTCCTGTCAATGGACCCTTGGGTTGCTTCCACCTCTGGGCCAGTGTGAATAATACTGCTATAAATATGAGTGTACAAATGTATCTGTTTAAGACCCTGCTCTAGTTCTTTTGGGTATATACCCAAAAGTGGAGTTGCTGGATCACATAATAATTCTATTTTTTATTTTTTGAGGAATAGACATATTGTTTTTCATAGCACCTGCATCATTTTATAATCCCACCAAGGTTTTTGTTTTTTTCTTTTTTTTTTTTTTTTTT